AGGTGAAACATATACCATACCCCTGTATTGGGAATATTTTAAAAAATCTGTTCACCAAATTCAGTCCAGTACCCACCCAACTCTTTGAAAATATTTCTAAGTAAAACAGTTCAAAAACAATTTGTAAAATACAAAATGTTAAAAATGCACTCTGGTATGCTAACATTTTATGATACTTCAGAATTAATAAAATATCTTTCAAATAAGTCACTACATTTTCTCTTAGGGGTTCACCCATTTTCTCACAGAGGAAGGTATGACTAACAACCTGGAACATAATTTTACATTTCATAAAAAATTATGTTAAAACTTTCTAATTAATGCCAGTTATAAGAAGTAACTGGCTGACAGGATATGGAAATACTGTATTGTTCCATCGTAAGAGCAATTTTACTAGATGTCCCTTTATAATCTAAAATTTTATGGCTTTTATCAGTAATGGCAATTCTACCGATGCACTGGACCATCAAATTCATTTAAAATAAAGTCTTTTACCTGGTTGAGATGCAATAAGCAGGACACTGTGTTGACTATAATGTCCCAGAGCTGGGACAAGTGCTCTGAACATATCCACATTGCTCTGTACAACATCAAGGTAAGACTGAGAACTACCCAAAGAGTTGACTGTGAAGATCACCACCTTGGAATGAGCAGAGGCAGACAAATCTAATGAATAAAAAGAAACAGTCTGAGCTCAAGATATAGAGTGTAATCAAGTTCTAGTTCATGATAAAATGATTTTTCTTTTCTACAAGTATAGAGCTTTTAAGCATACTTGTCCCCAGATCGATCCCATATTCTCCTAAGTATACAAAATGCTGAGGTTTACCAACAGAAGGAGTGTTATATCAAGGGGGCAAGATAGCAGTAAAGGTAAACAAAATAAGTTACAGGATCTAGAACTGACAAAGACTGAGTTTTTGATGTAATTTACACCTTTTTAAAGGAAAATCAATAATTTGTTATAGGCAAAATAAACCCACAGTCTATCACACCACTGATTTTTTTTT